AGATGAAGTTTTGACAAAAATAAATGAAATGTTGATTAAGGGTAAGCAAAAAATTATGTGCCAAGATAATAATGCTAATAAGTCTTACGTTTTATATTTTGACGTAAAACCATTTCTAATATTTAAAGAAAGAGACTGGAAGACAAAATGGGTAAAAAGATGTTTTTTTTTTTTGAACAGCAAAAGTAATATTTATTGAAAAAAGAAGTACAAGGGATTCCTCAAACCCATAAACATCCCAACTTGAAAGACAAAATGGGTAAAAAGATGTATAATGAAACATATACATGCGATAGATGATTAAGAAAGAACAATAGAAAGGGTGTGATAAGGGATAAAGAATTATAAAAATTTGGATAAAAAAGATATATATATATATAATGATAAATTGAAATGCAAAGAATGATTAATTAGGAATAATATAAAAAAGAGGCTTAGAGAGATGAAAAAACAATAAAAAAAAAGTTATTTAAATGGCGATGGGGATTTTTTTTTTTTTTTGAACAGAAAAAGTGATATTTATTGAACAAAAACGGAGTACAAGGGGTACCCCAAACCCATAAACATCTCCACTTGAAAGAAATAGATTTACATAGTCAAATGTCCCTTCCATTTGGTGTCGACACCAAAAATATAGTCAAATGTCCCTCCCTGAAAAATATGATATCATCCGCAAATTGTAGGTGTATTACCATAATATCTCCACTGAATGGTGGTGGGGATTATTGTGTGCTCTACCAAATTCAATTCAATTGTTAAGTATAACCCACAATGTTGTTAAGAACCATGTAAAGAGCAACCATCCTTTTTTGTTGTATCATGCTCGATATGGGTATATGAGAAATTCTATGGTTCATTCTTCAGCAACTTAATTGGGACAAGAACTGGTTATTTGAGATGATCTAGAAGAGCACCCTTGCTTGGATTTGTGGCATATCGAAAGGTATTATGTTCCCTTTCTATCATTGGTGCTCTCTACCACAACTTTTTGCCAAGAATATTTGAATCCTTGTTGTAGTGGTTGAGTCTTGGTTAATTTGTTTACACAAAGCTTTGGTATTGTAAATGTAGATTTTACAAATTGTGCGGATGTAAATGTCTGGGTGGAGTACCCTTATACTCTTGATAATAAAAGTTTTTGTTTCATCTAAATAAAAAATATTCTTGAGAAGAAAGAGACTGCAAGAAAATTAAAATGCATATGTTCTCTTTGCATAAATAAACACATATTTCTACACCTAACTTTCTTGGTCCAATGGCTATAAGTCATGTCATAAGTGCATTCCAAACTCAAGAATTAGGTTTCGAATCTCTCACTCTGAAAGTTGTAACATGTTCAAAAATAAATAAATAAACACAGATTTCTAGGCAAACAACATTTTATCAATCCCTTGACTTTAGAATCATTTTCATTCTAGTCCCACATTTTAGGGCAACATCAATACTAACTATTTTCCTTTTATCTTCAGAATTAATTTGCAAGTTTATCACAAATGAGTAACACCACAAATTTTATTTTATTGATAAAAAAAAAAATTAAGTGATACAAGGGATACCTCCACCCTTTATATCCTCTAGTACATACAAATATTGTGATATTATACACTTTACTTTTATTAATACTTAAAAAGGAAAAACTACATAAGAAGGGAATTCCAGTCGCTAAATGCAAATTCCAAGCCCTCCTTTTTTCCCTTTTAGCTACCCAAAGGATTTGGCTTGAATGAAGTCTAGAATTCTGTGTTTGTATATTACCCTCATCAGCTAGCAGAAGCTTATAATGCACAAACTAGATAAAATAAAATAAGAAGAGGAAAAGCCACAAATATGGGATAGTTAAGCCACCGCCTCCCACCCACAAGGGAGAATATATACTACCCTAACCCCATGGAAAAGCCTCACAACCAAAACTAAAATCTGCTTAGAATATAAGTATTAATTAAGAACGCAAAATTCTTTTCAAGATGATAACTAAGCAAACAGTTATGAAGATGTATCGATCCAATGATACGAGCTTAATGAATATATAATTAAACA